AACTGAGGGAGGAGAAGATGCCTCCTCACCTTAAAGGATATTTTGGTGAAGTGTCACAGTGTGACACTGTTATAATCAAAGCCACCTGATTCCAAAGCACTCTGTGGCTGCACTGTACCTGGGTAGAGCTGGTGGCTTCCCACAAATGACAATCACCCCACTGACCGAGCAGCCACCCACCACTGCTCCCCCCGGCAGCATCGTCACATCCCAACAATGTGCCTTTGCCCACAGACACATGGGCCCAATGGCTGGCACTGACGGAGTCCCTGAAAAGGGCCACTGTCCTCTGTTCTGAGTCAGCCTTATTGTTCAGAGCTTAGGGAACGAGGCTCATGTCCAGATATGGGACAATAATATGTGCTGTATGCTTGTTGTCAGCAATATTGTAGGTCGTCATGACGCCGAAACCTTCGGTGCTCTAAAATGACCTCCCCACACCCGAACCCTCAAATTCGTGAGTTGTTTGCCCCTAATTCTAATATCATTTCCTCTGAAGCCTTCCAGAACCCCCACCACTAGCCAGAATTAGCTTACTGACTTTTTTCACCCCAGTGTCTAAAACCAGGCAGGTAAATTTTTACCACTTGAAATAATAAATTAAATTGCATTAATACCATAGAAATTGGGACTAAACTACAATGATTTTGAGACCCAGGAGGATGAAAGGAAAGTAATTTATTTCAAAAGGGTTTTCTTTGGATCTACTCCGATCATGTTTGGAGCACAAAGACTGGCAGCAAATATAGTAAAAGAAGGTTCTCGGCTGTGTGATTTCTGGATATGGTGGGCTGGAGTCAGCAGGGAAGGGGATGCTTTGTAAAATATGCTCAATCGTTCAGAAAAATCACAGATATGGGGCTAATGAGCAGAGACTGATCAATTTTGAGAGTGTGTCATTTGTATGTTTTCCTTGCTTTCAGCTGTACAAAAGTCATTGCCCTCTCCCCCACCGTTATGAAAAGCAGATAACTGCTGCAGTAAAAAACTCACCAGCAGTACCCATGACTATAGAGTCATTGCATAGCTACGGAGGGAACTTCTGCACGAAATGTTAACTCGTGTTTAAAAGTCTACTGGAAATCAGATCTTGTGTGTTGTGTCTTGTGGGATGCGTCGGGCAGCAAGTAATAGAAAGCAAAACTCCGAACGGCTTTTGCAATAAGGCATATTTTTTAATCTCAGGAAGTCTTGAGATAGGGTCACTGAAAGATTGGTTAATTCAGCAGTTCAGTCACATTTTGAAAAACTGCTTTGCCATCCTCTGAGTTGGCTTTGTCCCCAAGGAGGCCTGGGCTGGTAAGGCCGGTCCAGAGGTAAAGGAATAGTTAGGTAGTGTAAAGCGATAAATGGATTTTCAAGGAATAGAGCCAGCGGGACTTGGAGACTAATTAGACACAGAGCAGGACTGAGATATTTGCAAGAGTTTGCAGCCACTCCCGTCTCCTCCCCAAGGAATAGTTGCTGCAAGCTGAAACACAGAGGACAGCAGAGTTCTTCAGGAGGTTCTGCTCTGGATCTGTTCCCTTCCTTGGGAACACTGGTGAAGAGTAGGTGGCATCATGTATGGGTTCAGGATACAGTGCTTGAAAAGTTTGATCAGCTCTTGTTTGCAGAACATTTTAAGATGCTTCCAACTAAACGCAAATTCTTCTTCTTCTTCTATACCTGTTTCCTGCCAATGGCCAGCCAGTCTTCTAGGTATGGTTAATGTCAGAAATGAAATTATTTTCTCAAATATTGTTTCTTTTCTCTTTTTGTCATAAAGTATATTCGGTGCTCTTCGAACTGGTGCTTATATGGTGTACATTTTGATGACCAAAGGCCTGAAGCAGTCAGTTTGTGACCAGAGTTTTTACATTGGACCGGTCAGCAAATTCTGGGCTTATGCATTTGTGCTAAGCAAAGCACCGGAACTAGGTGAGTGTCTTCTCTCCTTCCATTTCCTCCCCCTCTCTTTGTAGTGACATATCCATAATATTTATTAAGAGTGAACGAAGTAACAAATAATCAGAAGGTCCTATTGTGTTTGTTGCAGGAAACTTAACAATGAATGAGTTTGAGTTCTAAACTGACTTCCGCTTTCTTTTTTGATTTCCTCTCTCTCCTTCCTTTTAAATAATTGTACATATTAAGGGCAAAATAGTTCACATAGACAGCAGTCCCAACCTTTTTGGTGCCAGGGACCAGTTTCCTGGAGCTCAGGCGGTGATGCGAGCGATGGGGAGTGGCTGTCTTCACCCACTTGCGGCTGCTCACCTCCTGCTGTGAGACCCAGTCCCCAGCAGGCCACTGGTCCACAGCCTGGGGGTTGGGGACCAAATTAGAACATGCTGATTTTTAAGCACCCCTAAAAATACACTTCCAGGGGCTTGTGAAATACAGTTCCCTCTCTAAGACCCATTAACAGCAGAGCTAATATTAAATTGTGGGGGGAAAGAGCAATATATTTCCAAGTCCCTTATGGAAGCATGCTTTCATCTCGAGTTAGAAATCAGATTAGGAAACAAAGCTTTTCGTGTGGGTATCGTCCTGTCCTCATTAACAAACACTCAGGGCTGATCTCTGGCGTTTGATTTTCATCATCAATGTGGCTGGTTTTGGAAGGGGAAGGTATTAATAGTTCACCTTCTAGAAATTAATAGAAAATACTGGCTATATTTGTAGATTTCTATGCTTTTTCTTTCAACTCTTTAATGGCCTTGGATGTAAATGCAGTGTAGTGAAAAATTAACTGGCAAGGATTTGATATGGGCACAATTCTCCAAGAAAATGTCTTTATTGCCAAAGAAAGGTAGCCAATGGTGACTATAATCTCTGAGCCCATCCATGAATCATGGTAGCCACCACCTCACAAACTGGTATGTATTCTTAGGGAAAACCTGACCACCCACTGGGTTTCTTAATTTTTTTTTTTTACCTGTAATTAAGAATTGTATTAATATGTATTTAGTTCAAAAGACATTTATTGTTTCTTCTCCTGTTTCCCCTAAAAAGGGGGTTAGAGGCTGTAATTTCATGACAAGCCGCCTATGATATAAGCAATGAGCAGTCTTTGTAAGGCGCCCTAGTTCGTGCCCCATGTCTATGTACATAGGACAAGCGGTCTGTTGATGTGTGGGCCAGCAACCTAACCACTTTCCACTTGATGCTAATAGTAGCTGGCAATGGTTTGACCTGTTCGTTTGACTGTTGTCTTACCAGGTCAAAGGCAAGGGAAGAGCAGCAGGAGAAAATTTTTTTTGAAAACTTTTCAGAAAGAGGGGCAGAGGTACAAAGATAGGTCCTCCACATAGTTTAAAATAACTAGATAACTATTGCATGCATGTGCACACACACACACACACACACACAGAGCCTATGAAAACAGTCTTAGAATGCAATGCATTAGTGTGGATTCATTCAGTTATTCATTCAATAAATTTAAATTAAGCACCTGCCATGGACCAGACATTTAATGGGAGATGGAATAGAATGACTACTTTTTCTAAAAAAAAAAAAATAATAAATACACATTTTATGAACCGGGCCCACAAAGGCTATTTTTATTAATACTCATCTTGGGACCACTAGGTACAAAGTCGTAGGCTAGAGAAGTATTTTTCCCTCTTGGATCTACAGACAACGCCTGGAAATCTGAAGCGGTATTTTTAGGAATTTTAAACTTCTATGAGAATATTTTGACCTTTCATTTATTTAAGGATAAACAAAAAAAGTTGTCTTGCCAGATATATTTCCTTCATAGTGATTCTTTTTTGACTTGGATTCATAGGGTTTCTTAATCAGGGCACTTGCTCTCAAAAGGGGGTTGGTTTAAGAACGTGAGCACATACTCTTTACGCTTGCAGTTTTGTGACTTTTTTCTTTAAAATAAATTCCTGCATTATTAAAGTTTGAAAATAAGTTGAGAAATGTACCCCCCTGACTTCTTTGGTGTTGTATAATAAATGTGCTTTTTTTTTTTTTTTTTTGAGACAGAGTCTCACTGTGTTGCCTGGGCTAGAGTGCCGTGGCGTCAGCCTAGCTCACAGCAACCTCAAACTCCTGGGCTCAAGCGATCCTCCTGCCTCAGCCTCCCGAGTAGCTAGGACGACAGGCATGCGCCACCATGCCCGGCTAATTTTTTCTATATATTTTTAGTTGTCCAGCTAATTTCTTTGTATTTTTAATAGAGACGGGATCTCACTCTTGTTCAGGCTGGTCTCGAACTCCTGAGCTCAAACGATCCACCCGCCTCGCCTCCCAGAGTGCTAGGATTACAGGCGTGAGCCACCGTGCCTGGCCTAATTTCAGATCCTTGATAGAGGTCATTTATGTGCTGAGTACCTTTTTTTTAAATTTTAAAATATGAAATACTATCCTCCTACTATTCTGGAGCTTCTTTGACAATGGCCTTTCAGGGGTAAACTGCTGAGTCAAAGTATCCAAAAGTCAGTACAAGTGTCTCTAAGATAGCCAAGCCAGCCCCTGGCGCTTACTTAGTGAACGTGTTTGCTTGGATGCCTTTTTTCATGCATTTTGGAGGTTTAAATTCCTTCCCAGTTTTTTACAGTTAGCCAACCTTGTGGCTACCATGTAATTAAGAAAGATTTATCCATCTGAATTATTTAGAACTTTTCTTATTTTTAGGTCCCAAGTTCTGCCTATCAATATTCTAAGACTCTGGACTCCCTTATGAGCACCAAAGGGAAAAGATCTCATGAGAAAAAAGAACAGTTCTTCCATGTTCAATACTGAAAATGTATTTTCTCCCCAAAACCCACATGCCTGCAGTTTTCATTAAATTGTGTTTTTAAATTGTGGTAGAATATACGTAATGTTCACATTGTTGTGTATCACATTGTTGTGTAACGATCACATCATTGATTTCCAGAACTTTTGCATCTTCCCCAGTTGAAACTCTGTCCCCATTCAACACTAATAACTTCTTCACTAAACTCCTAATAGCAAGAAAACCTTGCCGCTTCAGCAGAAAACTACGCGCTCATTTCGGTGAATTACAGGGTTACAATTTATCAGAAACAACTGAGAGGACGAGAGTCACCCACCCGCTGTGTGTGCCAAATCTTTGAGCACCTTCTGTTTGCATTATATTAAAACCTGCTGAGATCTGGTTTTGTTAAAACTTGGAAACATCTGTTCTGAGCCTGGGTCCTTGCTCAGTTGAGCATGTCATTGTATTTGAAACTCTGACTCAGCAGCACTCCAGCTAGCTCTGCGAAGAGGGACTCGGCCTTCTGTGAGTCTGCACACACAGAGTCGGCTTTCCGTGCCCCTTGGCGGCCGAGAGTACCTGGGGATTGGCAAATTTGGAAATTGCGCAGCAATTTCCCCATGGCTGGAAAGAAAGCAATCTGTGCTTTCCAGGTGCAGGGGTGGAAGGGATAGTTCAGGAGGGCACTTAGGTATGAGCAACACCATGCCCTGCTGCAAGCTGTCTCTTGACTGATAATAGCTGAACCAAAGTTTAGAGAGGTCAAGGTAAAGAGAACATGAACCAGAAAGTAGCTAAAGCAGGCGACGTGACGGAAACATTCAAGAGTCAAAAGACCCATTGCTTATCATTGGGCAGATTCGCGTGCGTGACGCCAGCAGGACGTTGACCAAGAAAGACTGGTTGCCCAACATGAATACACAGTCCCTGGGAGAGTGAACATTTCTGGATCACTCGGTAGCTTCTGGAAACCTGCAAGTACCCTGACTTAGCATGACTTTTGCTCATGACAAATTAAACGGGATCTGTGGTTTCCCGAGAGAAAAAATAATTTACACCTGGCAGAGCGGTGCAGCTGACGCGACTCAGCTGCAGTGTGGAAGCCCACGCGAGGTCTTGGTTAGCTCTGCCGGCCCGCCACCCCTTTCCCCTCGCCTGGGGGAGCTCCCATTCTTTGGGTCAGTAGTCTGTGG